CCCCTCACACCACTGTTCCCCCCCCCAGGATCTCCATCACCCACATCACTGCGGATCTCTCCCTGGCCAAACGCTCCATCCTCAACAACGTGGGCAAACAGGCTCTCCTCGAGCGCTCGGCCGCACGCTCCACCATCGGTGAGGTGTGGGGTTGGGGGCTGGGGGGGTGGGGGTGTCACCCTATGGCTCGGCATCGTTGCCCCCCTCAGACCCTAAAACGCTCCCATCGATCCCGACCCCAAAGCGGAGGTGCAGAGTGAGATCGAGCGCATCTTCGAGTTGGCCAAATCCCTGCAGCTGGTGGTGCTGGATGCTGACACCATCAACCACCCCGCACAGCTGGCCAAGACCTCGTTAGCACCCATCATCGTCTACGTCAAAGTGTCCTCCCCCAAGGTGGGGGGGCCGTGGGGGGGCTGCCCCCATATCCCCATATCTTCCCATCCCTCTGGTGTCCCCCCGTGGCCCTGCGATGTCCCCATCCCCACAATAACCCCATCACATCCCCACATCCCCACCCCCACGATAACCCCATAAAATTCCCACGTCCCCATCCCCACGATAACCCCATAAAGCCCCCACGATGTCCCACACCCCCAGCCCTACAAAATAACCCCACAACGTCCCCATGGCCCGCTCCCCTCCGCGCCCCGTTCAGCCTCAACGCGCACCCAACAAGGGGCAGTCGTGGGTCACCCCACCTCCACCCCACAACCCAACCCCAACTCCGGGTCCCTTTGGGCACCCAAATAAAGGGCTGCGCCCCCCCATGCTGCCCCCCCCCATGCTGCCCCACACAGCGTTGTCCCCCCCCCCCCCCCAGGTCCTCCAGCGGCTCATCAAATCCCGTGGCAAATCGCAGGTGAAGCACCTCAACGTGCAGATGATGGCAGCAGACAAACTGGTGCAGTGCCCCCCGGTGAGACCCCCACCCTGGGAACACCCTGTAGAGCCCCCCCCCCATCCCTGGTCCCATATACCCCCCCCTTACCCCAATACATCCCCCCTCCCCAGGAGTTGTTTGATGTCATCCTGGATGAGAACCAGCTGGAGGATGCCTGCGAGCACCTGGCCGAGTACCTGGAGGTGTACTGGCGTGCCACGCACCACCCCCCGCACAGCCCGCACGCCGTGCCCTCCCCCAGCAGCCTCCCAGGGCTACAGGTACCCCCCCGACCCCCCCACCCCAAAAAGGGGGCAGCCACGGGGTCCCCAGTGCCACTCCCACAGCCGCATCTCTGCACC